CTTGTACTATCTTTTTTAAAAATTTAGTAATCATTTAAATTGTCTACTAAGCAACATGACAATTTAGATGGCAAAATTTAGTAATCATTTAAATTGTCTACTAAGCAACTTGATAATTTAGTTGATATAATGTTAAATAGAAATTTTGGACAAAATACTCTGTTATTAATGGTATAATAATAGTATTCTAACTCTAATGTATGGTTTGGAGAAAAACCTAATAAAAGAAAACACTAGCTAAGCCCCTCTTCTATTAAAGAAAATTCAATTTATGGCTTCCAAAGGTCAAAAGCTAAATTAAGTTTAGTATCAGTTTTTTTTAAAACGTTTTTCATTCAACAATTTAATTTTTTATTTTAAAAACTTTTTTGGAACACATACTTTTTGGAACACACTATTTTGGTTGTATGTATTTTAAATTGTATACTAACTTTACTTATTTTAATAAATGTAAATTTATTTAACAGGAGTAGACATATTTTATACTAGGTTGTGTTAAACCATTACCACAACATCCTCCATTTTCAAAATACACATCTCATATTTTTTGTGTTCTGGTATATAATTTTGGTAACTTTTCATAAGTAATGAAAAAATTTTTATTTTAAATTTTTATTTTAAGTTTTTTTAAGTTAGTTTTAATAAGTTGAAGGCTGTGTGAGAGAGGGGGTGAGGAAGTGGGCAAAAACACGCCCTTCCATAAATTGATGAATAATGCACTAGGACAAAATAATAATAAAAGTTATATTGGGGGGGGGGGCAGTACGACCCCTTGAATTGTTTAAAAGCCCTTATTATTTTTTTTTTTAAAGTAATTTTTTCAGTCAATTTCTTCAAAATTGTTTATTTGAAAAATTATTGAAGGAAGGGGGAGGGGGCAGACAAATGCCCTTGCTGCCCATCCGGTTGCTACGAGCCTGTATAAATTTTATGATACTGTATTAAATATTCTTTATAATTAAATAATAAATCTAAACAATAACAATACTAAAATATACTGTAAATAATAAGATGATGTAAAATATAGAATAAACCTATATATATATATATATATATATATATATATATATATATATATATATATATATATATATATATATATGTGTGTGTGTATGTGTGTGTGTGTATATATATATATTTAGGATATAGAAAATAAAATAATATAATAGATATGAAATATAATATACATAAATATACAATATAGTATATAAATAAGAGTGTTATTAGTTATAGTACATCAGTACTATATACAAAACATTCATACATATATAAAATATATATATATATATATATATATATATATATATATATATATATATATATATATACACATATATAGAGTTTGTGTCTGTTATAAAGTTTACAAAAAAGAAAAAATCTTTTAAATAAAAAAAAATTTACAAGTTGGTATTTATACGTACCACATTTAACTTAAATATAAAAATAATGTGTTGTATAACGTAAATATAAAAATTTACAAATAGGTATATATACGTATACATTTTTAATACAATATGTAATTATATAACAGGTGCGGCGTAAAGAAAGAGACAAGTTTTTTAGAAGTTTTTAAGGCAACAAATAAAGACTTTTTAAAAGTACAAGCGCTTAAAAAAAAAGATAAACTGTTGTTTATAAAGTTCAACTATATTTATTTAAAATAAGCTTTCCGTCATTCTCCTCAACAACATAAACTCGAAAAATTAGCGATCATTTAGATCATTTTTATCGGTATTTCTTAAATTCTTTCCTTGATTTTTTCAACCAATTCTTGCCTGAATTCGGAGACCAAATGTTCGGTACAATAACCAATAATCCAATTTAATCGATAGCAATGATTTTCTTTTTGCTTAGGAAGCACTATTTGAGTAAAAGAATCCTTTTTGAACTTTGATTTTTCTTGTAAAATAACTACTTTGGTTGGTCCATTGTAATAAGCCAAATCTAAACCATGACTTTGAATGGATACTTACGCTCTTCTCTGGTACCAGCGTCTTGATTTGCTGTTGATCTCGATTGAGCATACACCATATCATTTTTTCTGTTAAATTGTTCATTTTGATCAAAGATTTTTTCATTCGAAAACAAAATTGAGCGGTAAGATTTACTGTTGAAATGGTTTCTGACTTTCTTTTTGAAATGTGCGCAGCAGTCGACTCTTTTTGTATGCTTTCAAATTTAAATCTTCTTTTGATACAGTTCTAGCTCAGCATCTTCTTTCTTTTGCAATTTTTCTAGCCGATTTTTTTTTTTGTTTAAACACACATTTTGTTTTACTTTTGTTATGAACGACTTTGTTTTCACGGTCGTCCAGAAGATTTTTTAGCTAATACTCCGCAGTGAGTTATCCGATTGACCCATCTATAAACTGTTGCTCCGGAAACAGTTTTATTGAGCATTTGTAGAGTTTGGGAGCATCAAAACCAGAGTCGATGTAAGATTTAATCAGTTTTCTGATGCTAAGGTCAATTATCTTTTTTGAACCCGAGAAATACTGAAACCATTTCAATTTTTTTTTCGCTCAACCATTCGCTGAAATAGAAAGAAAAAAATAAATAAATAAACAAAAACATTTTTAGAAATTTTAATAAAGCGGTTTATTAATTGTCTTATTCTTTACGCCGCACCCGTTATTTATATATACTTAAATATTTAAAAGAGATTTAAAATTTAAGAAAATTCAAGATTTATATTCATCTATTTTTATACAAAATTAAAACAGACAGACAAAAAAAACAAACAAGAAAGATACATCATAAAATAAAAAAAAAAAAAAAAAAAATTAAAGAGTGTAAGCTTTGTATAAATTTAGTGTTTTTTTTTTATAGTTCTTTTAAATATATCAATAGATTTTATTTTTATTGTATTTTTTTTTTTTATTAATCACCCGCTGTATATACAAGGTTAAATTATTATAAAGTTACATTTTTGATACAAGGTAAATTATTATAAAGTTACATTTTTGACAAGAAATAAGTTTTTATTTTGGAATATTTACTTCAAGAATTTCTTTGAATATTTTCCTTTGCTCCAATGAGTTCCAGAACTCAATTGCATAGCTTAATTTTTGAAGATCTTTTTTAGGAATTATATTTCTTAACACAATAATTAGGGTTATATTTTCGTCAAGAACAGAGTTCCACAAGCGTAATTGTAATTGTAAATTCGATATCTAATTGAGAATTCAGAATACTTTAGTAAAGTTAGTTAAATGTGGTAATTACTTATTGAGTATCTTGTTTCATATTTATGATTATTTAGAAAAAAAATTTTATAAAAATATTTTGAAAATATTTCAATGTGAAGTTTAAACATAAATAACAAGTTATAGTAGATATTCATTTCATATATGTTTTTAGCATTTATTTCCTTGAGTAACGACTCAGCAATTTCGTACCTATACCTACCTACCTGGTTAATAGAAAATAACTAATCAAAATAGGTATTATTTATCAAATTCTGAATAATAGATTAAGTTAGTTGCCATTTTTATTTTCAAAGCACGTCCGGCACGTCTTAATCTAAACGTCACTAGGACGTCCTAGTAAAGACGTCTTTACCGGACGTTTTTAGGACGTCTTAATTGGGTCTGAGACGTCGCAACCTAACTAAGACGTCCGTAAAACGTCTGATTGACGTCTGTGCCCACCGGGTGGCTACGTATTGTTATGTTTTGCATTTTAATACATAAAGTTCTTATGTTTTGCATATCAATACACAACACAGGTCAACCAAAAAAAATTTTTTTTCTGTTCCTGAGCAAACAATTAGTTTTTTTTATAGCATTTCTCATTTTATTTTCAAATATGCAATTCATTTTTCACTATCACGTCAAGTTTTAAAGATATTTGGATTTAAATCTTTAGTATTTGGGGTGAAATCCCTAATATTGTTGAAAAAAAAAATTATTCAAAAGTATGTCAACCTGGATCTCAAAAGAAGCGTTTTTTAATAGAGATTTTTAAGAACTTTTTATTCGTTTGTAATAAAAATAAGTACTTTTTGAATTATAAAATTATTTTAGGAGTCTTTAGCATTTTTTCACATAATTATTTTGTCAATAAGTTTTAAGGAAAAATATGTTTTTTAAAATCTCTATAAAAAAACGCTTCTTTTGAGACCCAGGTTGACATATTTTTGAATATCTTTTTGTTTGATAATATTAAGAATTTACTCCAAATACTAAAGATTTGAACCCAAATATCTTTACAACTTGACGTGATGATGAAAAATGAATTGAATATTTGAAATCAAAATGAGAAATGCTATATAAAAAAACTAATTGTTTGCTTGGGAACAGAAAAAATATTTTTTTTGGTTGACCTGTGTATTGAGATAAGGCTCATTTATCCAGCTTTTTGATTTTTGAAAAATGAAGTTGGTCTTATTTTTAAAGTTTGTGATATAAGAAAAGTTAGGATTTTGTGCCAGTCCATTTTTCTCTTGTTATTTTTACTTATTTAACATTTGAAATTTTGCTCAAGGTTTACAACCAAGTTTATTAATTAATAATTTTAATAAAAATTTTATTTTAGTTTAATAAATGCTTTAAAAGTGAATTCTGGATTTTTAGTTAAAAGTGAATCCTGGATTTTTAGTTAAAAGTAAAACCTGGATTTTTAGATAGAAATGAAAGGAATATTTTGTAAAGTCGTCACTAGGGTTTACGATTTAACAAAATATTCTTACCATCCCTATCAGAACAAAAATGTGTTAAATTTTCGCTAAACTGTGCATTTTATTGTGTATTAATTACTTATATATTTTATATCTTATATTAGTAACTAAGTTTAAAATGTTTAAGTTTTGCTTACTGAGCAACGTTGATAAAAACGTATTGTAGTTATTAATTATGAAAAGTTTTTATCAGTTGAACTTAAATGTTAATAAAAATAGATCGATTGTTAATAGAATTTAGCTGGTTACGAATTGAATTTGATTTAACTGAAATTGATTAAACTTTTATATTATTTTAATGTTATATTATTTGTTGATATTTTTTTTAATTAGTAATGGTAGTAATATTTATAACAAAGTTGTAACTATGGTAGTTATTGCTAACAAAACAAATATTTAACAAACATATTAAATTGCAAAAAAATATTTTATACAATATTAAAGAAGACGAGATAAGTATACACAAATATTCAAATCTATACTTTGCTAAAATGTCGCATAAACTTAAAAAGGATCATGCTATTGCTGGATTAGTGTTAGGTATTTTAGAAATAATATTTGGACTAATCATAACAATATTATCATTTGTTTTAATTGGAAAAACAACGTTAGGTCCTTCAAAATCACCTTATTGGGCTGGTATCGTTGTAAGTAAAATATTTTGGATGTTTTTAAAAACTTCAAATTTTAAAAATACAAAAAATTTAAACCTTTGTTTAAATGTGAGTTATAAACTTTTAAAAATAAAATGTTTTACCCAAGTACCAATCCCTTCATGACTAGCCTGGTTAAGAAATTTAAAACCTTTCTACAACTGAAACCCTTTTGATACCTCTTGTAAATTTGCTGCACTTCAAGATTAATCTAAAATAAACTGAATTACTCTTTATTTATCATATTTTTGATATTATTATATTTATATATTGCTTTGTATTCTTGTATTTAACCTCTAAAATATCTTGTAAACTTTACGTTTTATCCTAAGCACCATAAATTAAATGTGATTGTCAACCCATCGAACGTGAACGCATCGAACGTGAACACGTGATCAATCATAACAATGTTTAATTTAACAAAAACAAAACTTCAAAGTTTTTATATATGACAGTCTTTTTTTTTTATATATGACAGTCTTATAATTATGTTTAAGTTCTAGTTTTAGTTTTAACTTTTCTAAAATTTTTTTAGTTTATTGTGCCGGGTATTCTTGGAGTCGTTTCAGGGTTTACAAGAAACCGTGGTGCAGTAAGTTTTTAAATTAATAAAATGGAATATCATTTTAATCGCATAATTAGTTATCTTTTTATGCTTTATACAATTTTTATTTAGATGATAGCTTTCATGGTTCTAAACATAATTGCTGTCGTTATTGAGTCTGTTGGGTTCCTTGTATTAGTTCTTGTTATTAGTACGATTGCAGCTTCCGCAATAATAGTAAATACTTCATGCACATATGGTGATAAGCTATATTAATTTTTTTTTGCTTTTGAAATATTTAAACTTAATACTTTGGTTTTTTTATGAAAGTTTCTTTTCACTAATTTTTTCACAACCTAAGCGTTAAGTTTAAATATTTAATAAGTTAATAAAATTATATATCTATATAAATATATTTATAGATTTATAGAAGTTTATTAACTGTCTTATTTTGTGTAACATGGTGTAATAAATATATTATATTTAGAGTATATATTAAAGATAACTATATAAAAAGAATTTACATGCATGGCCCATCATCGGTGCTGCAACTGGCAAACAAGCATGGGATAAGCCATGGGATAAGATATGAGCAGCCGTGGCGCGCTAGTAGCGCACTTGCCTCAGAAACATAGAAACATAGAATAAGCCAAGTGTTGTTCAACGTTTAATCTATGGTTCGGCGTAGCAGCTGTTTTTTTTAACCAGAGTTTAACCAGTGCTTCATCATTGCTCATTTTTTATGTTACTTTTAGGTCACTTTGTTTGTTTTTCACATGCTGTTTTTAGTAATGACAAATACTTAAACAAATGCAAAAATTTAACTAAATGGAAAGACTTAATAAAAAACTAAAAAGTAAAGATGAAGTAAGCGTTTACTTACCTAAATAAAACAAATAAATAATTAAAATAGAAAACCATTTTAAACTATAAAAATCGTCATTTAGCAATACCCTATAAAATAATAAATAACTTGTATATTAATAAAAGTTCATTAAAGCACATACATAATTACATAATTTCTAAGAAAGATCAAAAGTAAGAGTTAATCCTAGAATATATATATATATATAGTTAATCCCATATATATATATATATATATATATATATATATATATATATATATATATATATATATATATATATATATATTATATATATATATATATATATATATATATATATATATATATATATATATATATATATATATATATATATATATATATATATATATATATATATATATATATATATATATGAATTCTGAGAACCGGGTCGCAAACTTTTATAGTTCATCATTTTATATAAATTATTATTTCATATTTGTTTAAAAAAAAATTCACTCCAGTGAACTTTTTTTTATCTAAATGTTTAATTCTTTGATTAAATATGTATTACAAAATTACTTCTTTAGAAAAAGATTAGCAAATATGCAAATTGATTAGCAGTTGGTGGAACACCAGCTAAATAGTGATTTTCGAGTGATTCAACATATGATTCCCAAAAATTTCAGCAGCAAACACATCAAACTAATGCTCATTAAACCTGAAATTTGTCTATGTCTATGTATTTAATCTTTTTCGGTGCATATAATATTCATAAGCAATATAATATTCTTTTTCGGTGCATATAATATTCAAAAAACCACGTTCAACCTCTGCGGAGCTTATTGTATTTGTGCTGATGTTTTTTGAACTTTTGACTGTGTCAGAAAGTTCATTTTTAATTTTTTGAGTATTAATATGTTTTTCTCCCGCTCGCCATGAATTAATAGCTTCATTTATTTTTCAAGTAGTCGGTTCAAAAGTACTAACTTCGGCGAATGTGCGTTTACTGCTTAATGTTAAATTATTGTGAACTTTTTCATTCATTTCTTCAGAATGAATGAAAAAGTTATTCATTCATTCTGGAGAAATAAATCAAAAACTTTTTCTTTAAAAATTCATTCATACTAAAAAAATTTTTTTTAATAAGAATGATTTTTTATTAAACTTGATTTTTTATTAAACTTCATTCAAGTTTTTACGAGAAACTTTTCTTTATAATCCATTATCTAAAAATCGAAATTTTTATAGCTATTGCTTAAGACTATGTGATCTACACAACGTTCATAAATTATCAGTTTCTAATATTAGTGATCCGTTTGGTTATAGGTTTCTGCTGAAACTTTTTGAACCGATACCGAAATTTCGGTTTCATTACTTTTTGTAAATTAGGTAAAAAAGCAAAATTTCGGTTGAAACCAAACCAAAAACCGAGCATTTTGTATGACTTGAAATTTTTATTTAATTTAGAAAAATAGTTTATTTTTTTAAATTAGTTAAATTTTTTAAAAACGCAAATCGTGTCTGAACATCTCTGCCTTAATATTGATGAGCAAATTTTTTATCGCTTCTACCTTTTCAGAAATGATAAAAATTTCTATCAGGCAGATTTTTGCCTGTTAATGCAAGAACAACTATCTGTTTATCTAAATGTTATTTTAGACATTTTAAGCTTTTTATTAGAGTATTTCCAAAATCTTTATACTTTTTCATTCTTCGTATCTTCTCGTAACAGTCTTTAAACGCTGAGAAGTCGCATCTTGGAGTAGAGGCTGCAGTTCTATATTTTAGGAACCATAGGACTTACAATTATGAAGAAGCTGGCATCGTTAAAATTTTCGTCCATGTATTTTATATGTATTGCTTACAAAGAGTCCAAAAGATGGTGGAGTATATAATATCAGTAAGAGTTGCACTGTGGTGTTTACCAGTATTGTAATTAATTGTATTTGATCTAACTGTAAAAACATAATCTTCACAATTAGTATATATATATATATATATATATATATATATATATATATATATATATATATATATATATATATATATATATATATATATATATATATATATATATATAAATTATAAATTATAAATTCAAAATAAGCAAAAAGCAACAAAATTCAAAATGCAGTTTAAATTGCAAAATGTTTGAAACAACATTATCTCCTCGATATATATACAATAAACTTATTTAATACACTGTAAATAAGTTTAGAGTATTTTTTTGGGTAACTTATATATGTATTTAACTTTATATTGATAATTTGTATTGAATTGATATGAAAAAGTTGAAAAAAGCATAAAGATTAAATTTTATTACCTGGAAATTTTATTTTCCACCTATTACAAATTACAAATACTTATTACTAACCATCGTATCACCTCGATCTAACAATTTTTAATAATTTTTTTAAACTATTCTAGGTACTAGCTGTTACACAGTGGATACCTCTGTTGAACCTATTGCATATGCAATTATTGTATTTTTGATCCTAGCAATATTAGTGGCACTAGCTTCTTCCATTCTTGGCTGTATCTCTGTCTGTTGTAATTCGGTGAGACTTTTATGTTTCATTTTCCCGTTTACAAAGATATTTGTGTGTGCGTGTGTGCGTGTATGTGCGCATGTATTTAAATATATATGTACGTATATATATATATATATATATATATATATATATATATATATATATATATATATATATATATATATATATATATGTATATATATATATATATATATATATATATATATATATATATATATATATATATATATATATATATATATATGTATATATATATATATATATATATATATATATATATATATATATATATATATATATATATATATATTATATATGTATATATATATATATATATATATATATATATATATATATATATATATATATATATATATATATATATATATATATATATATATATATATATATATATAAAGGTATATTTATATATAGATGATATAAATTTACATGTATAAAAAATTGTTGCTAATATTATATAATAGAAATCAAAGCCGACTACTGTGATAATTCAGCAACCAGGAATGGTAATGCAACAACCAGGAATGCAACAACCGGCTTATCCGCCAACCTATGATTACACCGTGGAAAAATAATTTTTTTATTGTTTTTAAAACATTAAAGTGAAGAGTAATGTGTGCACGTTTTTAAAGCACTAATTTGAAAAAGTTGTAATGATAAATCAAAATGATTTTAAATTATCATTTAATAAAAAACAAATATGTTTCAACATTTGTTTTAGTTATTTGCTATTAAGTTTAATAAAACTTATTAACGCATGCAAAATATTTATTAAAAATTAAATAATCAACAGATAGAATTTAAATTTTTTATTAGCTCAACCCCTACCACCAGTAGCGTAGCGATAAAAAATAGGCCAAACCGCAAAATTTTAATCCAGGCCCCTAAATTACTTTTATGCTCCCCCCCCCCCATTACTTTATCTTTTTCTTGACAAAAATTATGCATGAAAATAAAGACTTTATTTTTGAATACAATTTTGAAATAGTTTAATAGGAACCTGTATGTAACACTAAGCAAGTTTAGTTAGAAGAAAATCTGATAAAGTTTTTTCTTGTCTTTATAGCTGCAAATTGGTCAATAACTCCTTTTAAATTTAGTTGAGTTGCTTTTTTTGCTTCAGAAGCTGTTAGATTTGCAGACAAAATAATTTGTGCCATTGTTGCCCTTAAGTGTGTTTTTTTAAATTTATTTATTTATTTTTCTTCTTTTATAGGTATACCATATAAAATGTATATTTTATATGGTATACCTATACCATATAAAATATACATTTATTTTTATGCTAAAATATAAAAATAATATGCTACCAAATTCTTTTTTACACTTATTTTCGTCACCATTTTCTCAAAGTTATAATCTGCGATCAAATAGCTTCCATAATAATTAAGTTAAAAAACTAAAACCTAGGGTTCTGAATTTTCTGATATAAACTAAGTTTTTCAGAGTTTAATACTTTCATATTTGTCATCGCATTAGAAGGATTGTCCATTCTACCTAGATAGTGAATTGCTTTACAAGCATGGTTTTGCAAGCCTTGTAATTTGATTAATTTTGTTTTGAGTGTATTAGTCCGCACTGTATGTGAGATAACTGTGAATTAGACTAAAGTAAAGTTTTTTTCTAAAATAGGAATCAAGAAACGGGCGACATTTATATAAAATACCTATTGCAGATGATATTTTTGATTCAATGTGTCCATAATGGTTTCTCCATGATTAATTTTTATCAATTTGAACACCAAGAAAATTTTCATATTTTTCCCGTTTTATTGTTATGTTGTTAATGAGAAACTCTGGAATTTTTAACAGTAGAGACATTAATTGACCTGTTTTATCAAATAAGATGTAGCTAGTTTTTTCATAGTTTAAGGATATTTTATTTGCTCTAATTTTATTGTGCTTAAGAATCTTTTTGTAGTTTCTATCTAATGGGTAATCTCAAATATACATTAGTGCTACTATTAAATTTTTAAATAAGCAACTTATATCATAATATGTTATTGTGGACACGGGTGATATGCAATAATGCGGAAATTTTCAATGTGTAAAATGCGAGAAAAGAGTGCGAAAAATTTTTCTTAACCTAAAGTTTATCGCTGACCCAACCAAAACATTTTCTTAGTTGCAGTATTAAAGATTTCTCAAACCATTTTTTTGCTTGGTGTTGAATAGATTAAACCATGGTTTATCAGTTTTTAAATAAGAAGCCCAAATAGACACTGTATTTTTACGGTGTGGTCTAATAAACACTTTATATAACTTGAGAGCCATATTTTCATCGATAACAGTGAATGTCTTTTTGCATACCAGGAGTTTGTAAGGGCTTTGACAACTGTTTGAAAATGTGCGCTCCACTTGGCTTTACATAAAATAATGAATCCTAAATTTTTAGAGTTTTAGTAGACCTTTTTAGGGATTGATTTATTGTACCTTTTTATTTTGTTTCCCATTTATTCCGATAGATCATTATTTTAATATTCGTCTGTATTGAGGTAGAGAATCAACGCTTTGGCGAAATCGAGATTACATTTAGAAATTGGTAAAAAAATCTAGAAAATGAAAGTCTCTATTAGATTAGTCACGCATAATTTATGGTGAAGAACGCCATGTTGATTTGCAGAGAGCATTTTATTTTCGTTTATGTGCTTAAAGGTTTTGTTCTTAAGAAATATTTTGACTATTTTGCAGGAAACAGAGTTTAGTGAAATAGGTAGATAGTTTTTAGCATGTAATTTATCTTCCGTTATTTTATAGACCGAACTAAATTTTGCTAATTTCTAGTAAGTAGTATTCCAGACTTAAATAACTTATGAAAGATTTTTGTAAATGGAAAAAATATTTATAGGGGTTTAGATTAATAATGTCTAAAATAGAAAAACCTAAGTTGTCATTATAAGTTCAATCAGGTTAGTATCACTTTTTTAGCGTTGGAAATTATTCAGATGGATGTTATAGGGGCGGATCTAGGATTTATTTTTCCTTTGGCGATTTTTTTTTTAATCTTACCGCCCCCCCACCCCCAATTTTTTTTTTTTTGTTATTAAGGTGCTCTAAGAAGTACTAATGGTCTTGTCACAGAACACCGCCACAAAGACAATAGCATTAATAAGTTGGCTCTCCGTTTCCAACTATACCGATAACTTTATGTGCTTCGAGTAGAGATCGAACTCGCAACCATTACATTACAAATCCAATGTTCTAACCACTGAGCCACGATTGTTATAACACAATTCATCCCAGACAGTGGTACTCTCAGATACCAAATAAGCAGCCCCCTTCCCCCAATTACTAATTGTGAACTCCCCAATAACTCGGATTTATATTTTCAAAAGGTTTTTATTTGACATCAGGGGGGCTCCCCCTATGGCTTCTCCCAATAGCTCCCCCTATGGATTCACCCCGTTTGGAATTTTTTTTTTGTGATTAAGACTCGGTGTTTGCAGCCTTTTATAAAAATAACCACGCAATTTCAAAAAAAAAATAAAATTTTAATGCTAAACTGGTTAAGACAATATAAGTCTGAAATTCAAGCAAAAATTAACTTAAAATTGCTCCCTCCCAAACTATTGTTTTGGATTTTTTTTTATAAATATAAACTAGATTCTGGTCATTATCTTTTACATGAAACATATGCAAAATTTAATAAAAAATTATACCTATACTAGCTATTCTTGATACCTACAATGTACTCAATGTCAACTAAAAATAAAAAAAGGAATTTGGAATTAATTCAAATCAATTAAATCAAAATTAATCTGAATAATCTTGGTGATGTTCAGATTAATCTGCATCAGCTTAATCAGCCAAATTTATTACAATCTGTATCGGCAACTAGCACCGGCCCTTTTTATTGATTTGCTAATTTTTATTAGCCAATTCGAAGAATACAAACCGTTGAAAACAAAAAGTAGATTAACTATGATTTTATTAATACATTTTAAAAAGTTTAATTTATTGAGTAATAAATAAATTCAGACAAAAAAAATCTAAAGAAATCAAATTTCTGACCATTTATCCCTCACAGTACAACGGGTGAGAATGTATCTGTCTGGAAGGTATTTGTTTAAAGCACATGAACCACGTCAAGGTTCCTTCCTATTCATGTGTACGATTTTTTATGCAGAACGACTGAAGGTGTATGACAGAAAAATACACAATCAATTAGCAAACTGCTTTTCCTTGCACATTTCATTCATTGATTAACAGAAAACTTAATCATAAAAGATAAAGAGTATTATGACAATAAAATAAAGTTGTTTTTAAACATTTATAAAGTTTTTTAAAAATATTTCATGATTTGAAATTACATAGTGTTGGGTGAGGTTAGGAAGCATTAACTTTAAATGTTAAAAGTCCTTCTAGTAATCGAGTAAAGATAAAAACTGTTCAGTAATTAAGAATAAAGATAAGAAAAATTCCAGTTGTTAAAAAATCGGTTAAAAATTTACACAAACCGTCTAAATCGCAAGCCTGAAATTGTAGTTGCAATTTTTAACAACAAAAAATAAAAATGTGCAAGTTGTTTAGTAATATTGTTCAGGAGAATTCCTTGAACAATAATACTAATAATAACAATATAACAATTTTAACAATATAACAATTTTTTCTAAAACAAAAATCCCCTCAGAAAGTAAACTGCTAATTTAATGAAATAAAAATTAGCATAAATAATATATTGTACTGAACTGTTTCAACCAGAAAAGTTTTCCATAACTCTTTATTTACTAATATATTTAAATGTTTTAATCTTGATTTTCACTAATTTTGGATTTTAAGGTTGAAAAATATATTTATAGCCAAATGTATTTTTAGGCAATAAAATATATGTTTTTATCCTACATACAAATGAATGCAATACACTTTTAGTGTCAATTAGATTGACACTAAAAGTGTATTGCATTAATTCAAATAGCTACGAGTTTACTACAACGTTTATAAAGATGTTTGAATATTTAAACATCCTAAATAATTAATAACAATTTAAAATGTATTCAAACTCTGAATCACTTTAAGGTCTCACAAAAGATTTAACTTGTGATTATAGATTATAGTGATTATAGTAGACAAAACGAAGTCATATTCACAGAGATTTTAAGTGATTTATATGCTATAGTCAACAGTCTTTAAACTATTAAATGTGTATGAATGTTTACGAATAAACCGAGTCACAGAGACTTTGACTTATTTGTACAGAAACATAACCATTTCTTTGCATTAACTTTTTGATAACTTCTTGATTATCTGGAACATGAGCAGGGGTCGTTTAACATTGATGTGTATACATCAAAGTTAAACCAAACGATCTCCAGACATAGTTGATCTTGACCAGGTTTTGAATCTGTGAAGATTTGAAATAGATCTTTCATAAAAACACGATGTCACAGGTGAAGTTGCTAATAACTGCAAACAAACAAAAATATTGGCAAAAGTTTTTATACATGAAATTGACTTTATAGTATCAGACATTGTTTGGAATGGGATAATTAGTGATAGTCCAGTATACCTCCTAAAGACCACACTCTGCATCTAAAGCTAATGGATTTGACAAATCTTCAGAATAAAAATCAGAAAAAATCTTAAAGCTTTCCCTCCAATCTTAGTTACTATATGTTTTTTATCAAAAACAGCTCTAGCCACAACCAAGGAAATAATAAATTCAAAGGAAGTGACCAATTTCAATAAAAATGTAGCTCTTTGGGAGTCTGCC